AACCTGCAATGCCCGTTGTGCAATCTTGGTGATGCATCATCTGTTGTGCAATAGGCGTAGTGCAATGTATTGGTTGTGACATATGCCGTGCAATCCATGTTGTGAGCGATCAAGATGCGCGCCGCACGCGCGAACCAACTTCGTGCAACATTTGTACTGCAACATAAGATTGGCAGTTGTGCGATCGACGGTGTGCAACCTATGTGGTGCAATATATGTCCAGAAATTGTTGATGCTTCGCGAATCCCCGGATCAGGGAAGTGGGCAGCACACAGAGGAAGCCGTTCTGAGACATCTTGGGATATCTGGAGCCATCTTGGAGGTCATCTTGGTCTCGCCCAGGCGCCCTTGGAGTCATCTTAATCAGTGCTCCCCCCCAAGAGGGCAACATGTGGCTAAAACCTTAGTGAAATCAATGATTTGGCATTCTCGCCGAGGCCTCTTGGAGCATCTTGTGTGCCTCTGGAGGGTCTCTTGGGGCCTCTCGGGGGTCTCTTGGGGCCTCCTGGGGGCCTCTTGGGGGCCTCTTGGGGCCATCTTGGGGCCATCTTGGGGCCATCTTGGACGCTTCTTCTGGCCATCTTGGAGGAGATCGATCAGACAAGAGTGGAATCTGAATTGGCGTCGCCCCCCTTAGGAGGCCAAAATGGGGCCAACACCCCGGTAAAACCAATGATGTGGGCTTCCTCGCCGAGGTTGTTTTGGCATTCTCGCCGAGGCCTCTTGGAGCATCTTGGGTGCCTCTGGGGGGTCTCTTGGGGCCTCTCGGGGGTCTCTTGGGGGCCTCGTGGGGGCCTCTTGGGGGCCTCTTGGGGCCATCTTGGGGCCATCCTGGGGCCTCTGGTGACCTCCTTGGCGCTTCTTGGGGCCACCTTGGAGGAGCTCGATCAAACAAGAGGGGAATATTGATTGGCGTCGCCCCCCTTAGGATGCCAAAATGGGGCCAACACCTTGCTAAACCAATGAGTTGGGCTTCCTCGTCGAGGCCGTTTTGGCATTCTCGCCAAGGTCTCTTGGAGCATGTTGGGTGCCTCTGGGGGGTCTCTTGGGACCTCTCGGGGGTCTCTTGGGGGCCTCCTGGGGGCCTCTTGGGGCCTCTTGGGGCCATTTTGGGGCCATCTTGGGACCTCTGGGGGCCTCCTGGGCGCTTCTTGGGACCATCTTGCAGGAGATCTATCAAATGAGTGCGGAACATGAATTAGCCTCGCCCCCCCAGGAGGCCAAAATGGTGCCAACACCCTAGTAAAATCAATGAGTCTGGCTTCCTTGCCGATGCCGTTTTGGTCGCTCTGACACCTCACGCCCCCCCCCCCCTCCAGGTCCATGGGGAGGGGGGAGGGGGAGGGATAAACCCATCCCCGAAGGGGAAGAAGGAGGGGTGGAAGAGGAAACGCCCTCGACCACCGACGCCCAGAGGGCTTGTGGGACTTATATGGGGCTATGTATTTTGTGATGAACTATGTGTTATGCTGTATAGGTGGAATCATCTAGGGTATGCAATATGTTTGGTGCAATCTATGCTAGGATCGATCAACAATCGCACCGCAGGCGCTGAACACACCATCGTGCAACGTCTGTGCTGCAATATACGTTGGGCAGCTGCGCGATATAGTGTGCGCAACCAAAGTTGTACAACACATGGTATGCAATCGAAATGATGCAGTATGATTGGTTGTGCAACGTACGTCGTGCAATCTATGTTCTGCTATCTATGTTGTGCAGTTAATGTGGCGCAATCTATGTTGTGAGCGATCAGAAAGCGCGGCAGACGCGGTGCTCTTCGTGCGCGTGCAACACATGTTGCGCAACTTTCGTGTTGCTATCTATGCCGTCCAAAACTGATTGAGCAAGACCTGTGGTGCACTCTACGTTGTGCATGTTACGGTATATCACCTATGTGGTGTTGTCAATGCTGTGCAACATATGTATTTCAATATGTGTGGTGCAACCTCCTATGTTCTGCAAACCATGTTGTACTTGCAGTCATGCAAGCTACGAGGTGCAGCCAATGTGGTGGCACCTATGCTTTGCAATTGACTTCAATCGATTGGATTGCAATTCATTGCACTGCAAGTGATTGCATTGCAACCAATTGGGATTGCAGTGCGCAAAAAGCCCCAGGCGACTAGCGGCGACAAGGCGGCGGCTGGGCGGCGACGGCGGCGACATAGCCGCCAGATCAAGTTTCAGGCCCAGACGACGGGCGCCGACGGGGCGGCGACGGCGACAACATAGCCGCCTGACCAAGTTCCAGGCCCACTTCGTCAGAAAAAAAGTAAGCCCCTCTAAGTGCAAGCACTGTTTGGTGAAAACGACCGGCGGCGATGAGGCTGCGACAGGGCGGCGACGGCGACGACATAGTCGCCAGACCAAGTTTCAGGCCTAGACGACGGGCGGCGATGAGGCGGCGACGGGGCGACGACGGCGATGACATAGCAGCCTGGTCAAGCTTAAACCCCAGTTCTCAGTTGCTTAGAGGAGAAGTATGAGATGAGCCCCCCAGCGCAAGCACTTTGGGGGAAATCGATTTATATATGTACATATACAGACCTCCCTCTCCCCCTTCCCCCCGCACCAGAGCGTGCATCGCGGCCGTGCTGGCGTCTTGCCTCCACCTCTGACGCAGCAGGGTTTTTTTTTTTGTTTTCCTCTTCCTTCCTCCGCCCTTTGAGCGGCCTGGAGGCGGAGGTATGTCCTTTCTTGTGCTGTCAGTTCCGCCCGCAGGAGGAGAGAGGGATTCCCCCTCCCGTCCTCCTCGTCCTCGTCCTCGGGTTCTTCGTCCACCTTCTGATGTTCCCCCATTCCTTCTCCGCCCCCTCCCCCGCCTCCGCCAGAGAGAGAGGGAGGAGGACGCGCCAGGGAGCAGAAGGGTTTAGGAGGATAGTCTCATTGGTGTAATGCTGGTTTTAGGATGATCCAGTGTGTCAGGGGGGCTATGTTTGGTTTCTTGGGGCTTGGAATTGTCATGTGGGGTTCTTTGCTCCACTCTGCTCCAGTGCAGATCCCTTCTCCCCAGACCTCCAGAGTCCTGGTCGGACATCTGCAGCGGTTGGCCGTGCAAGGTGGTTGCCAATCTTCCACCTCACCAGCCCCAGTCCTTCTCCTCCTTCCTCCCCTCCAGATCCTTTTCCGCCCCACCTCTCTCCTCCTTTTCTTCTTCTTCCCTCCCTCCACTTCGTCGGCATCTTGCTGTCATTGTCGACGCTTGGTCTTTGACCGGAATAGGTATTTCTCAAATTTCCCTCCCCCCCTCTCCCCTGCTTCCTCCTTCTCATCATCCTGCATGCCCCTGGTATTCTCACACGCTCCTATGGATCCACTGAGACCCCGAAACCTCGTGGGACAGCAAAGCAGTGTTCCGCGTTGTTGGGCTATGTCGCCAGACGAGGCGCCCACAGCAGCTCAATTCTGATATCACCTTACATCACCGATCATATAACTAAACGAAGCGTTGTAGCTGAAAGATCGATGAGGTTGCTTACATATGTATATATATATGTATATATATATATGTATGAATGTCCCTATGCATATAACCATGTAGACATACATTATGCGCACTCGTATATACATGTACGGCCGTGCCTCGTGGCTCGAACCCCCCCCCCAATACTACCGGGGGGGTTCGAGCAGGCCGCACCGGGTGCCGCCGACGGCTCAGAACCCCCCCCCTGTGGGAGTGGGGGGGTGGGAGTGGGGGGTGGGGGTTGGGCGGGGTGCGGGTGGGGTAGGGGGTTCTCTGTGGAGGTGTGGCGTCTTGAAACACCCTTGGGGTCCAGTCGAGCCAGTCGTGCATTCCAGGGGGGTTCGTGAATACCGGGTGGGCTTTGTGCTTACTGGGGGGTTTCGTGCCGGCTCGCACCGGCGGTGCCGCCAGCACGAACCCCCCCAGATGGAGTTTACCGGGGGAAGGGGGGGGGTCGCTCCGCACAGGGCACCGCCGACATATATGTATATTCTGGTGTATACATAGATACATATGTAGGTAGACCGTCGGCCTCGGGTGGCCTTCGCTGGGCCCCGGGACCGTCAACAGAACGCCTCAGGATGAAGAACAGGTTCCAAGGGAGAGGTCGAGACCTTTTTGGGTGTGCACATCATGAAATCATCCTCACGTGGGCGGGGGGGGGGGGGCGGCCCCGCCCCCCCCCACCCCGCTGAGAGCATCGGAGGTGCCGCCACCTCTCGGCGTGACGCTTCCAGGCTCGAGAGGGGTCGAGTTCCGAGGCCTCCGGGTGCTTGGTATCGCTCGGACGTGTGCACTTTCTTCTCCGCGGGGATTCTGAAGGAGCATCCTGGATCATCCTGCGAAACGACCACGCGCGGTACCGGACAAAAACACGGGGAATGAACGGCCGAGCGATGGCCAGGGTGCCCTCGGCAGCTGCCGGCCGCTCTGCAGCTCGGGGGCGGCCCTCCAGCAGCCGCGCCTCGCCGAGGGCCTCTCGGCTCGTGCCGAGCGTTCCGCCGGAGGCCCGGGCGAGGAAGAGACGGAGCGATGGGCGGCGCGCCCGGGGGGGCGGGAGGTGCGAGGGTTAGTTGGTGGTCCCCAAACGTGGCTCGTCGGCTCCCCAGAAAAGATGGGAAGATATGGGAAGTGGGGGGGAAGACAAAAACCCAGAAAATATGAGAAAAAAACCAGAAACCCAGAACATATAGGTCCCTCTTGGTGGTCCCCAAACGTGGTGGTGAGAACACCCGGTGGTGAGTTTTGGGCGATTTGGGTAATGGTTTTCAAGCGCTGGCTGGCCCAGGAGACGCAAAACCTCGTGGCGACCGCGTGTCCCCAAACCCGGTGGTGACCCAGAATTGTTTTTGGGGGGAATCGGGGTCACCACCGGGTGTCACACCACCTGGTTTGGAGACCACCAAGTTAGGGGGGGAGGTGCGAGGGTTAGGAAGACTTGCAAACTAATCCACAGCTGCCCACACATATTCAACACCGAGTCCCCCGACTTAAAAAAAACTATGTTTGAGCATCCCCCTTGTAGAGGGACGTGCCCGACTCCATGCGAGGGGGGCGGGGCTTCTCAGAGTGCGGCGTGGCTCCGCGGGAGGCCGAGGGAGCTGCTCGGAAGGCCAGGCCTCGCCCTATTTCCGAGGAGCTCCCGAGAAGCTCCCTCGGCCCTCTGAGAAGCTTCTCGGGAGGCCGAGGAAGCTTCTCAGAAGCTCCTCTCGCTGTGAGGAATCCGTGGCCATTTGGTTCAAGCCATTCTGGCTCAAGCTCTGTTTTGGCTGAAGGCCGCCAGCTCTCGCTACCCCCGGGCGGACGCAGCAGACGTCAGGCAGCCGAGCGCGATGGTCGCCCTGCTGCTTCTGCGAGCGGCGGCCCTCGCCGCCGTGGCGGCGGCGCGCTCGCCCCGCGATGCGGGGCAGGCTCCCCCGAGTGGCAGCAGCATGGCCCTGAACATCTCCTGCGGGGCGGGCATGCTGGCGTTCGTGGCGCTCGGCCTCTACGTGTGCTACAAGTGCGGCATGTTCGACAAGGGAACGGCCTCGCGCGCCGCGGAGGGCGTGCCCCAGGCGAGCCCAACGGTGTTGGGGATTCCCTTTGGGCGAGAGCTGTTCGACAAGCTGTTCTTGCCAGCGGTGGTCGCAAATGAGCCCATGTGCGTCGTCTGCCTGTTGCCCGTTGGGCCTACCTCTCTCTGTCGCCGCCTGGGCTGCGAGCATGTTTTTCATCCCGACTGCATCGATGGTTGGTGGCTGCAGACGAGTGATGTCACGTTCAAGTGCCCCGTCTGTAGACGGACCCATGTTCCCAGCGCCACCCCGTGACAGCATCTGAGTACCGAGGAAGCGAGGCAGCCTGTGTCTGACAGCACATGCTCAAATGTTTAAAACTTATAGTTTCTCAGCATCGTGCGGTGCCTTTGTCGACACGTATGACGTGTAGTCTGGGCGCGCGTTGAGTTTGCATGTCACGTTGCAAAGTATGAGTTCGGTGCGCTCTGTTGTTGATGCCGGGTTTTGCTTGTGTGCGTGTGGTTGAGAATGTGTGTGTGTGTGTCTGCTCGTATATGTGCATTGCGCGTTCGGCCGCTAGCCTTGCCGTTTGATTTTGTCTGCGTACATCACAGACGTTACTACACCCGCTGTGTATTCCGCTGTTGGGCAATGAGTGGGATACCATCAAGACACCCGAGCAAGTGCCTTGTCTATCTCAATGGTGTAGTTCTGTACAGTTTTGCTGTAGATCAGGCGAGATCGGCGAGATCGGAATGTTCCTTGGAGAGGGCATCCTCTGAGTATGATGCGGAAGCTGGTCGGGCAATCACGGGGAGTCCGTCGCGACATCTGAGCCAAGCCATTAGCCGTTTCAAGCTTACAGTTCTGTGCCCCCGTACTTTAGATCGGGAGCGCTCGTCATGTCCCCTGGGGACGGATGAGTCCAGATGATCCCCTTGGAGAGGGGCGATCTATGAGCGCCTGATTTGTCCTGGTGGCCGGGACAGCTTACACCATAGGGGCGGCGAGAATCGCGAGAGTATTCCTTCCTGGAGGAGCGGTCGAGAGAGAAGGGAAACGATCCTGGAGGGGCGGCGGAGGGAGGCTCACCCAGCAGTGGCGTGTGCATGCGATGTGGCGCCATCGTCGCTGGCGATCCGACTCTTGTACGCTAGGGATGCTTGGGCGTGCCGACGCTAGGGAGGGGTCGCCTGGCGGGCTCGTGCCTGCTGCACCTCCCGAGCCCTGGTGCAACCAGTGTCGCAGCACTTCGCCTCTCGCCACTCTCTCTTTCGGAAGGTCTTCCTCTTCCTCCTCCTCCTTCTCTCCTCCTCCTGCCTCCTCCCTTTGCATTCACTCAACCGCTACCTCCCGAGCAGCTGACCAGAGGGAGGGATGCCTTTGTAAGCAGAAGGCGCACTGGGTGCGTAAAGAGGTCAAGACGTCCCATGATGCTCGCATCTGTGCGAGCCTCCGTCTTCGATGAGCCGGTGCTCGCCCGAGCCTTGGCGCAGCCAGTGTCGCAGCACTTCGCCTCTCGCCGCCCTCTCTTTCGTCCCTTCTCGAGCAGCCAGGTGGGGCCGCCTAGGCTCGTACCTGCTGCTCCTCCCGAGCCTTGGTGCAGCCAGTGTCGCAGCACTTCCCCATCTCGCCACCCTCTCTGTCGTCGCTCTCTCTCAAAACAAGAACCTCCTCTCGTTGTGAAAATACGTATGTACATGCTCATGTACGCCCTCCTCCGTCGCATTCTAGAACTATTCTCCCTATCGCCTTGTCCACCCTCTTTCTCCGCCATTCCCTGGGCCCCTCTTCATCTTTCCCCTTCTCTCCCCTTCCTACGTTCTGCCTCCTCCTCTTCCTTCCTCGCTGCCCCCCCCGTTCTACATAATGTTTTCCTCATCGCAGTCATTATTTCATTCTTCTCCGTTCTCCATCTCCCCGCTCCCTCATCCTTCATTACCTACTCTTCGTCCTCATACACTCCCTGTCACTCCTCCTCCGGATCCTCTTCCCCATCGTCTTCCCCTGTCGCCTCTTCTTTCCCTCCTTCCATCTCACATAATCAGTCCACTCCTGCTCCTTAGACAGAACTCGTCGCACCACCAGGCGTTTCGGTAGGAACGGCCGGTCTTTCCCCATGAGATGTATACACGCTGGGTGACCGTGAATCTTTTATTTTCCCAGTCGCCACACGGATAGGCGACGGTCGGTTGTAATCATGTGGTTCTCGATTCAGCGTCTTGCGCATTCTTCTAACAATTCTGCAAAGGTAGGAAGGATGATGGCGGTTCGTCTTCAACGGGGGCCTCGCTTTGGCGCCGTGCAGGTTCGTCATAAAAGCTTTCAACAGTGACAGCGATGGAGAGCAGCTCCTTTTCAAATGTGAGTTCTCGGATGGAGCATCTCACACACTTCTTGGCAGACGCGAAGACGTGCGCAGCAGCTTCGCAGAGGGAGTGCCGCTTCTGTTTCGAAACGGAGCTTTCGTTGACCATTGCATCATTTGTACGATTCAGGAGGGGAAGGCAGAAGCACACATGGTCTTCGACTCTCCAAACAAATAGGGGAGAACATGGGAAGTGGGGGAGGGCAGATGAAGCTCAAAACGTATGTAAACAGACGGGGGAGTTCGGGGATTTGTGTTTATTTGTCTATGTGTCCCTGGGCCCCGTCAAGTATACCTGCTCGCGCTCCTCACAGCTAGGAGGAGGCAGGGCAGCTGGGTGTTCAAGCCTGGGCTCCCGCCCAAATGACAGGCCCCTTGGGGCGCTCGTTTTTCCACGGGGCGCCCTGCTTGCGGCGGAGAAGAATGCCTGCAGGGATTAAGGAGGAGGGGACCTTGGACTAGAGGGGTATCTTAGAGCATCGCTGATGCATTGTTGGTTCACTCTGGTTTCCCTCCTCCCCCTCCTCCTCCTCCCCCTCCTCCTTCTCCTCCTCCTCCTCCTCCTCCTCCTCCTCCCCCTCCTCCCGCCCCTCCTCCCCCTCCTCCCCCCCCTCATCCTCCTTTCCCTCCTCCTCCTGCTCCTCCTCCCCCCCTCCTCCTCCTCCTCCTCCTCCTCCTCCTCCTCCTCCTCCTCCTCCTCTTCCTCCTCCTCCACCAACTCCTCCTTCTCCTCATCTCTGCTCATCTTCCTCGTCCCCCTCCTCCCCGTCCTGCCCCCACCCTCACTTTGCGCACCCCCCACTCCCTCCCCGCCCCCCCCATCCTCGTCTTCCCTTCCCCTTCTCTCTACCTTCTGCCTCCTCCCAATCCCCACCCCCCCTTCGCGAGGAGGCAGGAGGAAACGGGGAAGAGGCGAGGAGCCACGAGGACCAGGAAGACACAGGACGAGGACGACGACCCCGAATGCACGACAGCGGCGGCGATGGTTTTCTCTTCGCCACCGAATCCCCGCAGGTCCAAGACACGAGCGGCCACACCATCGCCACCACGATGCAGACCTCGCCCGACGAGTACCAGGCAGGGCTTCCCCTATCCTGATGACCCCAAGGGAGCGCCGAGAGGAGGGAGGAGGAGGAGGAGGAGGAGGAGGTGGAGGAATACGACGACTACGCGAAGTTAGGTCACCTAGATAAGCGGAGGAGGGGGATCAGCAGCAGCAGGGCATCCAGAGATAACAAGAGATGAGGAGGAGGAAAATGAGGGGAAGGCGAAGATGAGCGGGGGGAGGGGCGTGCAGGAGTGGCCCGCGGCCAGTCTGTCGGTCCAGTTCGGTTAGGGCGCAGCGCCGGAAGCCGAGGAGACCGCGGACGGGGTAGACCTTGTGAGTGTACGCGGGGCATGGAGCGGCAGGGACGAAGGCGGTGAGGTTGGACGGGTAGGCGGATGCTGGATGGAGGAAGAGTCCAAGGAGGGCAACACGCCTCCTCCTCCTCCCTCCTCCTCCCTCCTCCTCCCTCCTCCTCCTCCTCCTCCTCCTCCTCCTCCTCCTCCTCCTCCTCCTCCAGGAGGGAAGCCTTTCTCCGTGGAACCAAAATGACCAGAAAGGCTTCCACGCATCAATTCAACTGCAGGGCAACGACACGCCACGAACACCTAGGGGGAGCGAGTTGGGCTTGGAGCGGGAGACCGGGAGCGACCCAGAGGTGGGTGCGAAGAGGACGATCACTAGTCTACCCGCCACTCCCCCCCCCCCTGGATCCCCTTCCCCTTGACCTCTGGCTCGCCCCCCTTCCTCCAAGGCGGCCCGGTCCTCCTCTTAATCCACTTTGAATTCGCTTCGCGACTGGCCTTATCTTCACCATCCGCCAGCAGCAAGTCTCGCAATCGTGCCAGCTCAGCACTGGGTGGCGACTGTTCGAGAAGGCGCGGGAGGCCGTCACGTGTGACAACTCGGGTCTCCATGCTTGGGAGAGCCGTAACGGGGATGATGAGGATTATGAAGTGTTGCCGGAGATGGTTGGAATGATTATGATGACTATGATGATTATGATTCGTTTGATGTTGATGTTGATGTTGATGTTGATGTTGATGTGAGTGTTCTTGTTGTCATTGTTGTTGTTGATGTTGTTGGATGTTGTTGTTGATGGTGATGCCGGTGACGTTGATGATGATGTTGATGATGATGATGATGATGATGATGATGTTGGTCATGATAGTGTTGCTAATGATGATGATGATGCTGATGATGATGATGAGGATGATGATGATGATGAGGATGAGGATGATGATGCTGATGATGATAGTAGTAATCTTAACAGGTGGAGGAGGATAAGGTTCCCAATCGGTCTTGCCTGGTCTTATCTTACAGTCGAAGGCGATGTGAAGGATGTGCGATTTTCCAAGGGAATCTTTTCATCTTCGGTCCGTACGTAATCCCATTGGCTGGCCCCTCTTGAAAAGCTTCGACATGCGCGTCCAAGGGGCTTGCATTTTTATCGCGCATCCATATTTCGACGGCGAGCTCAGGGGGAAGTGAGAAGGGGCGGGCCTTCTCAGAAGTCTCGGAAGTCCCCCCGCCTTCTGAGAAGTGTTGTAAGCCTTCACGGAAGAAACCTCACATTTCTTAGAGGGTTGGAGCGCGTCCGAGAAGTCCCGCCGCCTCCTAAGAAGGCCTCCTCCTTCTCACTCCCCCCCCCCCCTCGTCGGAGGGAGGAGAAGCGACACCAACACCACCAGGGGGCCCACCTCCAGCGAGGAGGTCCACGATGCCTTCCCGAGCTGAGGGCTGGGGATGCCTCGAACGAGAGAGGGGGACCACACCACCAGGGAGACCACCCTTGCCTCCTCGCACTTCCTCGCCCTGGTGGTGTTGGTGTCGCCTTTTTTTCTACAGTGGAGACCCATGCCAAGAAACACCCTGCGTGCCTCCAGGGTGCGCGGTGTTTCTTGGTTTTCGATGGTTTTGCGATGGAGAGCGCGACGTTCCCACACCAAACAAATCATTGTACGTCCTGGGGTCTCAGGGTCGGGTTTCTGGTTGAAGGCTTCTTGTGGACTGGCCCCATACTGTACTTCGCTCGCCGCCGAATTACCATCAGTCTTGACTCCGACCCCTCGCCTCTCAGGAGGGCAACAAAACACACAGACACAGTTGATCGCCGATCCCCAGAACATAGGGGAAACTATGGAAAGTGAGGGGGAAGACGAAAGCCCCAAAACGTATTGGAAACTATGGGGAATCTGTTTAGTTATGTGTATTGATTCGTGTGCCCTGGGGCCCCTTTCGTCTCCCCGCGCCTGTCCATCTACAGGAAGGATATTCCAAATAGTCAAATTGTCTGGGGACGATCTACAGGAAGGATATTCCAATAGTCAATTGTCTGGGGACCTTTTTGGAGTATTTTCAGTATTTTTCCCAATCCTCCCTTGGTTGGGTACTCGTTTTGAATAGAGCACTTTGGTCGCCCCGTCCTCCCGCCCACTTCCCTCCTGCCTCCTACCTCTTCCTCGCGGCGCCCTCTGGGGGGCTGCGATATGCGCATTTGTCCCCTCCTGCGATCTTGCGCAACTGTCGGCACTTTCGTGTGCTCCTGGGAGGCCCTGCGGGGGGAGCTGCCACCTGCGCAACTGTCGGCACTTTCGTGGGCTCCTGGGAGGCCCAGCGGAGTGGGGGTTCAACGCGGATCGCGTCGGGACCTCGCGGCTCCCTGCGGGGGGAACTGCCAACTGCGCAATTGTCGGCACGTTCGTGGGCTCCTGGGAGGCCCAGCGGAGTGGGGTTACACGCGGATCGCATCGGGACCTAGCGGCTCCCTGCGGGGGGAGCTGCCAATTGCGCAATTGTCGGCACTTTCGTGGGTTCCTGGGAGGCCCAGCGGCGTGGGGGTTACACGCGGATCGCGTCGGGACCTCGCGGCTCCCTGCGGGGGGAGCTGCCAACTGCGCAACTGTCGGCACTTTCGTGGGCTCCTGGGAGGCCCAGCGGCGTGGGGGTTACACGCGGATCGCGTCGGGACCTCGCGGCTCCCTGCGGGGGGAGCTGCCAACTGCGCAATTGTCGGCACTTTCGTGGGCTCCTGGGAGGCCCAGCGGCGTGGGGGTTACACGCGGATCGCGTCGGGACCTCGCGGCTCCCTGCGGGGGGAGCTGCCAACTGCGCAACTGTCGGTCCTTTCGTGGGCTCCTGGGCCCAGCTGGGTGGGGTTACGCGCGGATCTCGTCGGGACCTCGCGGCTCCGCTCCCTTCACTCTGCTGCTCCTCAAACATATTCCCCAGGGGGGCGTTGATATTTCGAAAGCGAGCGCGGGGTGCGTCCCTTCTCGAAGCGCGCTGCGCTGTCATTGTGGCCCGAGCGCGCGGCGCTGTTTCTCCGTGGCATGGGACAGCGCGGAGGGGGGTAAAGAAGGCGCGGCCCTTGTGCAGGCAGTATGTGGACACCAGGATCGAGCGCAGAGCGCTGTTCGCTGATCGGTCGCGCGGCGCCGTCCTGTAGCGCAGTGCGCAGCGCTGTCCCTCGAGAGCGCGGGGCGCTGATTCTTCGTTGAGCGAAGTACACCGCTTGACCCTCGAGCGCGGCGGTTGCCAAGAATGCAATGGTCGTCGCTTTCGTGGGCCCCTTGGACGTCCAGCGGATGTTCAGCTATTTTGAAAGCGCCAGTTGATAATGCCACTGCCACCTGTTGCCAAAGGGTTGGGCACGTCCCTGTTCCCCCCCACCCCCCGAAAATCCCCTTGTATGGGGGACACGCCCGACTCAACCCTCGACGCAGGGGGGGGCCTGGAGCCGTTGGGCCCAGACGCTGCGGGCCCTCCCGCCTTCAGGGGGCACGCAAGCGGGGGGGTCGGGCGATCCAGCGGAGGGGGGGGGGCAGCGAGGGCTCCTCGTCCTCCTCCTCATCCTCCTCCTTTGCCACGTTGACTGTGGCGATCATGACACTGACACTCCTCCTCCTCTTCTTCCTCCTCCTCCTCCTCCTCCTCCTCCTCCTCCTCCTCCTTCCCTCCTCCCTCTCCCCCTCCCCCCCTCCTCCTCCTGCTGCTCCTCCTCCTCCTCCTCCTCCTCCTCCTCCTCCTCCTCCTCCTCCTCCTCCTCCTCCTCCTCCTCCTCCCCTCCCCCTCCTCCTCCTCCTCCTCCTCCCCCTCCTCGTCCTCCTCCTCCTCCTCCTCCTCCTTCTCCTCCCCCTCCTCATCCCCCTCCTCTTCCGCTTCAGCTTCATCCTCCTCCCCCCACATTCGGGGGGCGCGCGCAAGGGGGTGGGTGGGCGATCCAGCGGTGGGGGGCGGCGAGGGCTGCCCCTATAATGGGAGGTTGATAGACCTCCTGCCCTGACACGTCGACTCGGGAATTGGCCGTTCCCGGCTCGCGAGAGGGTGTCGCGGCCGTCATTCTTGCGGGTCCGGGTCCGTCGGTTTCGGTCCTCGGCCGTTCTCGTTAGGGGGAGGTTTAGTAAAAAGAGGTTTGTCCACCGCCGACTATGACGTTGCCGTCCGGGGCCCGGCAGGGGGGCCTTTGAGGCCCGAGCAGGCCACCTTTCCTCAGGAGAGGAAGAACACACACAGGGTCAATTCCTCGGGGAAGACAAAGACCCAGAACAGATGCGAACCTATGGGGGATCCTGATACCCGTGTCTATTTATTTGTGTGTCCCAGGGCCCTTCATTCCCCCCCCTCCCATGCATTGCCCTTCTGTTGATTCGCGCCTGCCTCTCCCGAGCGCGCCCCGCGCGCGCGCGCGTGCGCCCCGCGCGCGCGCGCCGCGACCCGCGCGCCGCGACCCGCGCGCCGCCGCCCCTCGCGGGAGGGGGGGGGCGAGGCTGAGGCGGGTGGCGACGGGGGGTGTGCCAGCGGGGGAAGAAAAGGGTCTTAAAGAGGCACTTCACGGACCATGAGTGAAGACAGGAGTCCGATGGAGGGTGCAGGAACAGGGCCTCATGGAGGGTGAAGACAATGGGGCCAAGAGGGCCCAAAAAGGTCCCAGTGGAGGGCGACGAACGGCGTCTGAACGCGGCCTTCCGGGCCCTTCTTGGAGCCAGCAGGGGCCCAAAGGGTGCCCTAAAGGGCCCTTGTATGAGCCCTCTTCTTCATCTCAGCCACCCCCATTACCACCTGCCAGAGAGGACCTTGGCGTCGCTCGGGCGAAGGAGGAGGAGGAGGAGGTGGAACGGAGGAGGAGGAGGAGGAGGAGGAGGAGGAGGAGGAGGAGGAGGAGGAGGAGGAGGAGAAAGAGGAGGAGGAGGAGGAGGAGGAGGAGGAGGAGGAGGAGGAGAGGAGAGAGTGAAGACGAAAAGGAGTGGGAGGAGAACGAGAAAAAAAAGGGGGAGGTGGTGGTGGTGGTTGTTGTGGTTGCGGTGGCGGTGGTGGTGGTGGCGGCAGTGGTGGTGGTGGTGGAGGAGGAGGGGGGAGGAGTAAGGAGAGAAAGAGGGATGGGGAGAAGGAGGAAGAGGAGTAATCAGAATCATGTTTATACGAATAAGAAAAATACGAATAATAATAAGAAAGAAGTATGGAAGGAGGGAGGGAGGGAAGGGGCACGGGAAGGGGGATGGGGGCTGGGGAGTGGGAGTGGGAGGAGGAGAAGGAGGAGGGGGGAGAGAGGTGGAGGTGGAGGTGGAGGTGGAGGTGGAGGTGGTGGTGGTGGTGGTGGTGGTGGTGGTGGTGGTGGTGGTGGTGGGTGGTGGGGTGGTGGTGGTGGTGGTGGTGGGTGGTGGTGGTGGTGGTGGTGGTGGTGGTGTGTGGTGGTGGTGGTGGTGTGGTGGTGGTGGTGGGGGTGGTGGTGGGGTGGTGGTGGTGGTGTTCTGGTGGTGGTGGTTGGTGGGTGGTGGTGGTGGTGGTGGGTGGTGGTGGTGGTGGTCGTGTGGTGCGGCGGTGGTGGTGGTGGTGGTGATGGTGGTGATGGTGGTGGTGGGGGTGGGGGTGGGGGTGGCGGGGAAGGGGTGCTGGGGTGCTGGGTGATGGGGGTGCTGGGGTGCTGGGGGTGCTGGGGGTGGCAGGGGTGGCGGGGGTGGTGGTGGTGGCGGGTTGGGGGTGGTAGGGGTGGTGGGGGTGGGGGGTGGGGGTGGTGGTTGTCGTGGTGGTGGTGGTGGTGATTGTGGTGGTGGTGGTGGCTGTGGTGGTGGTGGTGGTGTCGTGTTGTAGTTGCTGATGGTGGTGGTGGTTGTGTGGTGGTGGCGGGGTGGTGGTGGTGGTTGTGGTGGTGGTGGCGGTGGTGGTGGTGGTTGGCGGAGGTGGTGGTGGTGGTGGTGGTGGCGGGCGGTGGCGGTGGGCGGGGTGGCGGTGGCGGTGGTGGTGGCTGGCGGTCGTGGTGGTTGTGGTGGTGGGTGGTGGGGGTGGCGGTGGTTGTGGTGGTTGTAGTGTCGGCAGCGGTGGTGGAGGAGGAGGAGATGGTGGCGGTGGTTTTGGAGGTGGAGGTGGAGAGGGAGAGGGAGACGGATGGAGGAGGGGCAGAGAGCGGAGGAGGAGGGAGGAGGATAAGGAAGAGGGAGGTGCCCCGGTCGCCCCCACAGAGCTCCGGCTCTTGGCCGCGGGCCAGGCCCCCCGGCGCGCGGCGGGCCGGCGCGCCCGCGCCCGCCCCCCCCCCGCCGCGGGTGGCGGCGCGGCGCGTTGGCGCCGCCGGGGGCCACAGCGATGGGCCAGCCTCGGAGGCGACGACGGGGGCGATGCCCACAGGGCACCTCCTCCTCCCCCTCCTCCTCCTCCGCCTCCCTCCTCCTCCTCCTCCTCCTCCTCCTCCTCCTCCTCCTCCCTCCTCCTCCTCCTCCTCCTCCTCCTCCTCCTCCTCCCCCCCGTGGGCCTGGCTGCTGTGGGAGGTTTTGGAGCGACGGAGCCATCCACGGCCCGTAGGGGCTCCAGCGCGACACGAAAATCCAGAGACACCACTCCCAAGCCTCTCTTCACTCCGGCTCGTGGTCGGCGGACCTCAGGAGTATGATCCGCAAGGCCCCTTCGGTGCCAGCGCAAGGCAGCGCGCCCAAGAGGGGCATGCCCCACCACAACACTGGCATCTGGGCAGTTCGTCACGGCTTGGCGTCGTTCGGACGTGCGCATTTCCTCTTCGGCGGGGGCCATCGTGGAGCATCCTGGATCATCCCGCGAGAAGCGACGCAGGAGGCCTCCGGGACAACGCGCGGGGCGTGGACGTCGGAGCGGTGGCGAGGGCGGGAAAGCGGGCCCCAAGGGAGACGGGCCCCGAGGCGTCTTCGGGCCGGAGAGGCTTCGGACAAGCCTCGGGAACGAACACGCCGAACAAAGATAAATCGGCGTTTTTGTTCGGGCTCCCGGGCCCCCCCCCCCCCACGGGGCCCCGAGACCGTCAGGAGGCGACTCGGGGAGGAGGAGGCGCCGGTCCGCGGGGAGGGCCCGCGGGTCCCGGACCCGCCTCCCGCAGGGCCCGCCTCACCCATCCCGAAATCACGTCGGGCGTGTCCCTCGCACAGGAGGAAGACCAAGGGCGCCCTCGAGGGCGCGAAGTGATTCGCGCTTCGCGGTTCGGCTCCGATTCCTCCTCCTCCTCTTCTCCCCTGGGAGGCGGCGCGAGAGCGCGGAGTGATTCTCGCTTCGCGCTTCGCGCGGCGCGAAGCGCGAAGTTGGGAGCCCTTGGAAAACTCAAGAATAGTGAAAAATCACATCGTCGGGTGACGATTGCTCGTGCTCTTCTGTCCATGTTTTGCGATTGGCTTTCCAGTCTGTTTCTCCAGGAGGACATGCCCGACTCTGTGCCAGCTGCAATCAAGGCGCCGAAAGCAGGACCGCTCTTGGTTCGGAGGGGGCTCGCCGTTCCTCAGCTCCTTCCGTGGCTGTTCCTCTAGCTCTCTTTGTGCACCCAGGCGTTGCTGGCGGCCAACAGGGGCTTCGCTCCTGATTTACAGTGGGGGTCCATGCCAAGAAACACCCTGCTTGCCACCAGGGTGCCCTGGGTTTCTTGGGTTTCGCTGATTTGGCCATGGAATAATAATCAAAGGACGTCCTGGGGTCTCAGGGTTGGGTTTCTTGTGGAAGCTTTGTTGTGGCCTGGCCCTTTGTGTAGTTCAGGGGAGAGCAATCCATGTGAGTCGTTCCAGAGAGAGCCTCGCCTTTCGGGGCGGAGGGAGCTGCCGTCTCTTCCTCGGCGGGAGCCGGCAGACGCAAACCAAGGCCGCCTCCGCCAGCGGAAGCCGGCGGAAGCAATCAAGCAGTGGCGAAGCGTCTTGGTTCGCTTATACGCCCACTCAATAATGTTCTAATAACGTCGTGTGGTCTGCACGAATTGTTCTTAAACCATTTCTGGCGGATGCTGTTTTGGTTTAACACATAGGGTCAATGTTATGAAAACATTGTTCTTGTTCTTGGAACTTCGCTGGGTTCTAAAAACATTTCGTGGTAGGCCTATTGGAATGCAGGGACGGTCGGTCCCTGCTCAAAGTAACAGATGCGCCTCCGAGAGATGACAACGCTTGGGGATTCGGGGTGTTTGGAGCCCACCACGTGTATCCAGTGGTGCCGATGGTCCACTGGGCATCGCTTCGATGTGTGCGCTGTTTCTCTAGGGAAACGAAGAATGGCATAAGCATAACAACTCGGAGGTCCGCGCGGATTTCTCGGATCGGCGCTGGACCCCCCTCCCTGGCGCGCGGGGCGGCGCCAGGGGCGGCGCGGGAGGCGCGGACCTCCGAGCTGTTGTGCTTGTGCCATTCTCTTCGTTCCCCTATGCTCGTGGAGGGTCATCGAGGAGCACCTTGGATCGCCCAGCGAAAAAGGTTGGAGGGCACGCACGAGACCCAGACGTGCAGGGGGGGGATACTGCGTCATCCAGGAGGGGGAAAGACACACAGACACGATTCATCGTAAGTCGGGCGTGCCCCTCTACAGGAGGAATATTCAAAAGTTGTAGAAGTAGTAAACAAAATTCGCTGGGACCGTTTTTTGTTCAAATATTTTAATCAAGCATGCAATGTGTTTAGTATTTTTGAATATATGCTGACTGTTTTCTATGTTTGAAATTGTCTTGAACCCCCCTAATGGAGGACATGCCCGACCTAACATGAATTGCCATCTCGCAGGAATGTATCGGAAAATACGGGAAGTGGGGGAGACGGCCACACACCCAGAACACAGGAGAACCTATGGGGAATCCTGGGATCTGTGTCCATTTGTTTTGAAGTAGGGCATCGACTACAGAAGTGAAGTACCCCAGAATTCCTTGTCTCGTCGAATCTACGGAAAAGTACTCAAGGAGGTCTGCAGTAGATGCACGAGCTATCTACGTGTTCGTTGCAGCTTCGAGGGGGACATCCATTTGGGGGTAAATCAGTTCTGCAGCCGATCCTCTGCTCGCTGGCTGTGTGTCCCCGGGCCCTCCTTTGAGTCGTGCCCGCCCCGGGGGCTTTGGACGCCCGAAATGGGTACGGAAAGAATGGGTACGATGCCCAACAGCGGTTCCTGTTCATTTTGAACCGGACTCGCTGTCGGTGTCGCCGCGGCCTGTGCACATTTGAGACGGGAGGCCGCCTGCCCAACAGCGGCCGCTGCTGCTTTGGGACAACACTTGTTGTTGGGCATCGTACCCATTGTTTCGGTACCCATGTCGGGCGCCCAAAGGGGCTCTGCGCCCTCTACGTGTTCGTCGCAGCTTCGATGGGGAAATCCATTTGGGGGGTAACTCAGTTCTGTAGCCGATCCTCTGTTCGCCTGGCTGTGTGCCCCCGGGCCCCCCTTTGAGCCGTGCCCGCCCCGGGGCCGGGGCTCTGCGCCCTCCTCGTCGCCTCCGGCCGGCAGAGCTCGGCCGTCGGCAAGCTGTGCTCGCCGTGCCGCGGCTCCGAGCAGCCCATGACGCCGTCCTCGACCCGGCCAGGAGAGCGCCGCCCCGGGGAGCCGCGGGGCTCGCCTCGGGCCAGACGAGGGGGGGGGGACAGGGAGCAGCGTTGCCCACGCCCCTCCTCCTCCTCCTCCTCCTCCTCCTCCTCCTCCTCCTCCTGGTCCTTCTCGTCCTGGTCCTCCTCCTCCTGGTCCTCCTCCTCCTGGTCCTCCTCCTCCTCCTCCTCCTCCTCCTCCTCCTCCTCCTCGGGCCAGACGAGAGGGATAGGGCCAGACGAGAGGGGGGGATATGGAAAGTCGGGGGCGGAAAAGAGGGGGGTGATGACTAGGGGAAGCGGAATCTCATGGCGGGGTCCATGATTTTTTTCCCCAGATTTCATGGCGCCGCTTCTCGTTTCATGACGTCCCTGGCCTCCCCGCTGGGCCGCGCACATGCCGCCGGTCATGATTTGCACCCTCTCTCTTGGACACCCCCCTCGTTGGCCGCTCCCGAGAAAGGGAGGGCTACGAAATCTGCTGCATGCAGCTGGTATCGGCCCCACCGAGGTGCCCATTCCTCGATGCGTGGCCGCCTCCCGGCGCCGGGAGGCGCCCCGAAAATCAGCCACGCGAGCCGATTCTCAAACCCCCCCCTTTTTGCTTATTATCCCCCCCTTGCGCCCAGCCCGAGCGTCGGGTCGCCTGGGCGGTCGTCGATGGATCGTCGGTCGGTCGTCGAGGGATCGTCGGTCGGTCGTCGAGGGATCGTCGGTCGCGTCGATGGATCGTCCGTCGGTCGGTCGATGGGCGCTCCCCCGGTGTTCCCTCCTTGGGGGCGTTTCCGCGGCCTCCGTCGTCGCGACGTCGCGGGCTTCGCGCCCCGGAGGTCCTGGTCGCGGGACGCAGCCCCGGGAGAGGTCCGTGGAGCAGCGGCGTCGGTAATCTGGATGGGTCTCCTCCTCCTCCTCCTCCTCCTCCTCCTCCTCCTCCTCCTCCTCCTAATCGCCCTCCCTTGAATCCGCCGGGCGAAAGGGGGGGCTTGGGAAAGGGGGGGTTACGAAATCTGCTGCATGTAGCTGGTTTCGGCCCCGGCGCCGGTACATGGCCGCCTCCGGCGCCGGGAGGCGCCGGGAAAATCAGCTACGTGAGCTGATTCTCAACACCCCCCTTGGCTATCCCCCTCTTTCGCCCGACCCGATAATCGCCCTCCCTTTGAATCCGCTTGGGGGGTTGGTGACGTGCTGTCGGCACGTCTGGAGGGGGGCTGGAGGAGGAGGAGGAGGAGGAGGAGGAGGAGGGGGAGGAGCAGGAGGAGGAGGACGGGGAGGAGGACGGAGTGGGCGGGATTGGGCAAGCTCAGTCGGGAGGTGAATCCCCGCCCCCCTTTGATAAGACCCTAATTATCCAGAATACCTCTTGGCGCCCCGTGATGAATCGCCGGGTGGTCGTCGCCGTCGTGCGGGGCGGCGGGCGGCGCTCTGGCGGCACGGCCGCGCACCCCAGCCCGCCAGGCCGGGCCCTGGCGGCCAGCGGCCTGGCATCGCTCGGACGTATGCATCTGTGCTTGGCCAGGGTCATCGAGGAGTATCCTGGGCTTCTGATGTTCCAGCCTGCCTCAGCCTTGATCGCCGCAGCGAATCTCGAGCGCCATCAACGTGCCGAAACGGGAGGGTTTTCACGTGTCGGGCCCTGGGGGGCGGTACTCGTTCGACACTTTGCTGGCGTGTCGGGCAGTCGTTGCTTCGATGCTCGTCTGGGTGCTCGAAACTGTTTCTGAGATGCGATTCCTAGATGCGAGGGGAGCATCCTGATCCTGGATCGTCTGGCAGAACAAGCACGCACGAAACCGACGAATGCACGAGAAATGGACGTCCGAGCGATGGTAGGGCGGAGGATTCGTCGGTCGGTCGTCGGTTGTCGCCGCCGCCGTCGTCGCCGCCATCGAGGGTCGAAAGGGGGCCTCGGGGTCGAGGCTTGAGGGCTCCTGGTCAAGGGAGGAAGACCCCTCCTCCTCCTCCTCCTCCTCCTCCTCCTCCTCCTCCTCCTCCTCTCCTCCCCCTCCTCCTCCTCCTCCTCCTCCTCCTCCTCCTCCTCCTCCTCCTCCTCCTCCTCCTCCTCGCCCTCCGCAGGGGCACGGTGTCGTATCCTGGCACCGGCGCTACCTTAAGCGGAGGGCACACTGTCAGGGTTCTGGCCCAAGTCGGCGGAGACAAGAAGGCGGCCGTTGCTTTCCGTGGTGAAGGGTTCGACTCCTTCTCATCACGTTCTTTTTCATGTCAGGTGTGGCACTTGTTTGCCCTCCTGGGTCTGCGTAGCCGGCCCGCAGGATCAGGGTCGGCGCAGCGGGGTCCGCGGTATCAGGACCTGTGTCGCTCCAGAGGCGAGGATTGGAGCATCCGGAAGCTCAAAAAGTCGCATCCTCGCAGCACCACCGGAGCGGCACACCGCCTCAAGGAAGGCGGCCGCGAGTGGGCCAGGCGACTTGCCCTTGTCCCGTTCCGTCGCACTTATTCGCCTAAGTGCTCCCTTCGGGGATGCGACGTTCGTTGTCGCTCATGCACAGCTCCTCCTCCTCCTCCTCCTCCTCCTCCTCCACACAACCGGCGATTACAGAATGGCCCTGGGCGTTGGACCACCTGGCACTGCCATAGTCTCGATGCCTTCCCTTACGTGTAAGTCGGGCGTGTCCCTCAGCATGAGGAATGTTTGATGATCATCAAGAGCTGGTTTGGCGGCGATTTGCCGAGTATTTTGGTGTATGCCTTTCCGAATATGTCTGAAGTATTGTTTCTTGCCATCCCAAATCCGCCTGTAGGAGGACATGCCCGACCTGAGAGATTGCAGAACGGCCCTGGGCGTTGGACTGCCCGGCTCTGCCATACTCGCGATGCCTTCCCCTGCTCGGGGGCGGCCGAGGGGGGGTGATGACTATAGGAGGGGCTGGACATCATGGCGTGGGCCCTGGTGTCTCCCCAGATGTCGCCGGCCATGGTTTGCACCCCCCCTCTTGGACGCCCCCCTCTTGGCCGCCCCTGACTTGCGCAGGCGCATGTCATCGGAGGCCTGGCTCGCCGGGCTGCTGCTCGTGAGGGTGTGCCTTTTTCCTGCTTGCCAGCCTCGAACCTACCCCTATCCCTGAGACTGACGCGCTAGAAGGAGACGACACTCTCAGGGTTGCACCCCCCGAAACTGAGGAAATCCCTCAGGTCGCCATCGTGACGAGGCGCTGCCCAACATAGGGATAGGGATATTCGGGAGCGGAAAAGAGGGGGGTGATGACTAGGGGGGGGGGGGATTTCATGGCGCGGGCCAATATTTTTTTCCCCAGATCTCATGGCGCCTCTTCTTGTTTCATTACGTCCCTGGCCCCCCCGCTGGGCCGCGCACGTGCCGCCGGTCATGATTTGCACCCCCCCCTCTTGGACACCCCCCTCTTGTCGGGTCGGGCGAAAGGGGGGGATTGGGAAAGGGGGGGTTACGAAATTTGCTGCATGCAGCTGGTTTCGGCCTCACCGAGGGGCCCATTCCTCGATACATGGCCGCCTCTGCGCCGGGAGGCGCCGGGAAAATCAGCTCCGCGAACTGATTCTCAAACCCCCCCTTTGCTATCCCCCCCTTTCGCCCGACCCGAGAGAAGTGTTCCAGGCCGGTGACCTGCCCTCGGTCCAGATCGCCCGGCCTCGGGCACCGCGCCGCCCCGCGAGAGTGCGCGGCGCGCGCCCCTCCTCGCGCGGTATCGCGCCGCCCTCGGGGGAGCCGGGAGCGGAGAGAGCACGCAGACGCAGTGCACCGTCGACCCCCCAAACAAAGACTCGGCGCTCAGGGGGCTCTCTCCCCCTCCTCTTCCTCGTCCTCCTCCCCCCCTCCTGCCCTCCCTCTCCCCGCCCCTTCCCCCCGAGAGAGCGCGACTTGTTTCAATCTCTCAGTCCTGGGCACTGTAACCCGCACGGTGTGGAGGACAATCGCCAGCTCGTACACTTTTTTTTGAACTGTGCTTGATTTCTGTGCCCTGGTCTGGACATGCGCCTCCAGCCGGCGGCACTTCTTCAGCCGATGTGTCGTGCAGACACGGCGTTATTGATTGATTGATTGTGCGGGCGCGGGGGGGATGGAGGCGAAAGCCACGAAACCACGAGAAGGTGTGGGGCATCCTGGGATCGGTATGCATCTATTGGTGTGCTCTGGAGCCCCGTCAAGCGCAGAGGCCCCGGCCGCGGTGCGCGAGGGGGCGGCCGACGTCGGTGCCTCGTGCCTCGTTGCCGCCCATAGCCTGGGCCCTCCCGCGGGGCGTACCCCCTGAAGCCGCGGCCAAGTTTCCGCCTCGAGGACCTCCGCCGCGTCTTCCTCCTCGGTTTCCTCCTTGTGATGGGCCAGTTTTCTACCACCACTACCATATGTAGGAGGGGGGAGACGGGCAGGGGCTCATTTCGATTCCTCCGATTCGATTCGATTCGATTTCGATGGCTTCCAATTCGATTCGGCTTCGGATTCCGATTCGGGCTCCGATGTCTCACTGGAGGCCTACTAGCCTGCCGATGTCCCGCCGATTCGACTTTTCCCGACTCGGCTGCCGATTTCCGCCGCTTCGATGCATTTCGATCGCCGATCCGATTTATATATTCGATTCTGGGGGCGCCTGAAAGGGAGGGTAGGGAAGCCCTCCTCCTCTCCTCCTCCCCCTCCTCCTCCTCCATCGCCTGCCTGTGGTAGCGGTGGTGGAACACCAGCCCGTTTCCATCACTTTGGGGTGGACGGACGGGATGGGAGGGGAAGGCACGAGCACGCAGGAGATCGACGACAGCAATGATTTACCCACAGATTGAGCTTCTCGTCGGATCTACCAGTGCGAAGCGGACTGCTTCGTAGATCGACGGGGCCTTCTACGTATGTCTCCCCGGCTCGATGACGAATAGTTTCTGGGGTACCTCGACATTGTAGCCGTTCTCCTACTCGAAGACTGGGGTGGCACAATTTGCCCCGTGCCGCTGGTTGCCGCCGGGCACTTTCGCATCGATGTGCCGCCGCATTCGGCGCCCCAGGCGGGCTGCCTTGGAGTCCTCTTGGGTGGTTTTGGGGCCCTCGTGGGTCGTTTTTGAGGCCCTCTTGGATGCCTTTCGGGAGGGAGGAGGGAGGAGAAGGCGAGGAAAGAAGAGGTAGAAGGAGGAGGAGGAGGAGGAGGAGGAGGAGGAGGAATAGGAGGAGGAGGAATAGGAGGAGGAGCAGGAGGAGGAGGAGGAGGGTTGGAATTGGAATCGGTGCTTGGGGGTGCTGGTCACCAATTCTGGCTGCACTTATGCACCCCTGCTTCAAGCTCTGACGAGCGCCTGTGCTCGTCGCATACGTCACAGGCCCACCGCGCCCCCTATGCCGCGCCAGAGCGTGGCGTGGGGGGCGGGTCCAGCATGGTAAGCTTCGTTTCGCAGTCCGAAAGCAGGAGGAATATGGGCAGAGCAGGAGGAGGAGAAGGAGGTGGAGGAGGAGGAGGAGGAGGGGGAGGAAGGGAAGGAGGAGGAGGGGGGGGAGGAGGGGGAGGAGGAGGAGGAGGGGGAGGCGGAGGAGGAGGAGGAGGAGGGAGGAAGGAGGAGGAGGAAGGGGAAAGGGAGGGGGGGGGGAGGGGGGGGAGGGAGGTCGGGAGGGAGGGAGGAGGAGGACGCTCCTCCCCTGTTGCTCCCCCCTTTCATAATTACGTCCGTCCCCGATCCTCCCGAACGCTCCTATGGGCTCTCTGTGCCGCAGTCGCGGTGAGCATCTCTCCCTCCCCCCAAGCCTTTGCGCGTCGAGGCGGAGGGGGCACGCTGCTGCCATGGGCCCCCGGCCCCCTGCCAACGGTAGCCTTGTTATTCTCCCACGGCCCCCCTCGTCCTTCTCATCTCCAGGGGGACGAACTCCTACATGCACACATCTACACGTATAGATGTTTATGTAGAGGTATGGATATATATATATATAGATGTGTATTTATGTATACATGCATATTTTCATATGTATACACATATATATATATATGTGAGAGAGAGAGAGATCGTCGAAGGGAAGTGAGGGAAGCCGAGCATCCAGAAAATAGCATGGGAAACAGGAGGGACACCGGTGACTTGCGTCTATTTATGTGTGTGTCCCTGGGCCCCTTCGTCCTCCTCCTTGCCGGTCCCCCTCGTCCTCCTCCCTTGCATCTCCCCCGCCAGCATAGGGCCCGACGGGAGCCCTCCTCCGAGAGAGGCTGAGGCTCAGCAGTTCTCCGCTCTGTCCTCCTCCACAGAAGTTATCGGGAGCCCTCCAGAGAAAGGAGACGAGTTCCCCTACTCCTCTTTCCCTCTCTCCCCCTATCCCCTTCTCTCTCTCTCTCTCACTGTCGCTCTCCCCCTCCTCGCCCCTATTCCCATGCCCCCTTCCCTCTCTTCACCCCCCATGTTCACTTCGCCATCTTGCCCGTCTTCCACGTCCTCCGCTTCCTCTTTTCTCCTCCCTTCTCTTCCATCCTCCGTCACCAGGGTACTCATACTTTCCATGTTCCCTCCTCCCCCCTCTTCATCCTCCGACGGCAACGACAACCACGAATGACAGGGATTTCTCCCCAGTCAAGAGCACTCCTCCAGAGTTTGGGGTCCCCCTCCGTTTCCCAGGAGCAATCCAGACGACGAAGGGCGAACTTGACGCTATTCTTCCTTACGGCTACGTCTGCCAAGCGCCCTCTCTCGTTGTCAACCCGTGTCGGGTGGCGATGACGTTGACGACGACGACCAATAATGACGATGACGTCCGCCAGGGATCCCTGAAAAGGGCTTTGCAGAAGCGCCCCAGGAGGCCTCGAAGAGACCCCGCGGAAACTTTTGGGAGGCCCCCCATGGAAACTATTAAAACGATCCAGACGGCCTGGAAGGCAGGGTTGCAGTATTGCAAATCGCTTCGTATGTAGCTCGCCCGAGGCGATTTGTGTTAAGCCTCCCGAGAAGCAGGACCCTTCCTCCAGAGGAAAGAGACGAACACCAACGCCTTCTTCGTGGGGAAGGAGCCGTCGCCGCCTCGTCGCCGCCACCTTCCTCCTTCAGCCGCCGCCGACGCCTGACCAAGGTCCATTCAGCGAGTGCGCCCCCGGGGATCCAGGCCGCCCAATTGGGGCCGAAGTATATAGGGGCGGCAGATCGCGCCGCACCGCCGCTGCATCGGCGATGCGGCTCGATGTGGAGCCCTATTTTCTCTACGCCGACTTCGCCGATGCATCGGCGATGTGGCGCGATCCCCATCAGGGCGGCCTCCATGGGAGCCTAGGTGGTGGCGCTTTCAGTCGCTCGCAGCAGCAGCAGCAGCAGCAGCAGCAGCAGCAGCAGCAGCAGCAGCAGCAGAGCTCGGCGATGCTCGTCCGGCGGTGCTCGATGGAGCGACTCTCCTTGAAAAGGCTTCCCATTCAGCCTGCTGCCAGTCTGTCCCGCTCTGTGGACATGGCGACAGCCTTCAGGCCATCTGCGGATGGACTGTAACCGACTGTGAGCGTGGAGGAGGGAGAAGGAGGAGGAGGAGGAGGAGGAGGAGGAGGAGGAGGAGGAGGAAGGAGGAGGAGGAGGAGGAGGAAGGAGGAGGAGGAGGAGGAGGAGGGAGGAGGAGGAGGCGGAGGCGGAGGAGGCGGAGGAGGCGGAGGAGGCGGAGGCAGAGGAGGAGGGAGGAGAAGAAGAAATAGTGATCAAAGCATGCGTCCCGCGCAGTCGACGCTGCGCCGGCGCCGCGCGAGCGCAGCGCGCGGCTCGCCGGCCGCCGTCGGCCAGACGCCCCCTCTGTGCGCGCACGTGGCCTGCTGTGAAGCCAGCAGCTCGCCCCCGCGCGCCGCGCGCCGCTCCCCCGCCGGCTGCGCCGGGGAGCCCACGTGCTGCGCAGCCGAGAGTTCAGGAGGGGAAAACACAGACACAATTCATCGTCGATCCCCTGAAAGATATGGGAAAATATGGGGAGTGGGGGGGAGACAAGAACCTAGAAAATATTGATAAATATGAGGAATCATGTTATTTGTGTGTCTTTATTTGGGTGCCCAGACATCCGACTCTCCAAACAACATTTCTGCTGTCGGTTTTGCCTTGTTTTCGGCCTCCGGAGGCCCTTGCTGGGCCCCGGGGCCGGCGCAACATTGCTCAGGACGAAGAACCGGTCCTGGGGAAGTGGTCCAGACGTCCAGGGCCCACGCATCGAACAAATCGGAGCGGCCGTGTGTCTGAGTACGAACGTGGGAAAGTGCGCATCCCAAAGTACGCTCCACAGCCCCATGTTCGCAAGAGACCCTTGATGGACCCGCCTACTCCCTCCACCGTCCTCCCTTCTATTGCTCCCGCTGCTGCTGTTGTCGCTGATGTTTCTTACGCTTGATCATGGTATTGATGGCGTTCATCGCTTCCCCCGTCCCCCCATATTGTCCCCCGACTGCCAACCTGCTCCCCCTACTCCTCTCCCCTTGCTTATCTTCCGCCCTCTCTCGTTCTCTCCGCCTCAGTTGGCTTTCATCTCTCTCTCTCTCGTGTTCTTTCCGCCTCAATATCTCTTTCTCTCTCTCTCTCTTTCTCTCTTCTCTCTCTCTCTCTCGTCAACTCTTCTCTCTTGCTCTCTCTCTCTGTCTTCCTCCCTCTCTCTCATTCTCTCTCGCTCTCTCTCCCTCTCTCTATATATATACACACATATATATGTGTATATATATATATAGATAGAGATTCCTCTTCCTATATTATGATAAGCCCAGGCGGGGGGGACCACCCCAAAAAAAACCGGACTCCCGGGATCCGGGGCTTTGGAACCCTCCAGACAGGCCTCGAAGCGGCCACCAGGCCTCACATGGCGTTTTGCCAAGCCTTCCCAGCACACCTAGGGCGATCAGGCGGGTTCATCGGAGACGTCCTAGAGACCCCCAAGACAGCACAAGAGCGCTCCAAGAGTGACCGACGTGACCTCAAGATGGCCCAAGAGGCCTCCAGGACGGCCCCCAAGAGGCCTCCAAGAGCACTCCCAAGAAGGCCCCCCGAGGCAAAAATCATTGATTTTCTATTTGTTTTTGTTGAATTTTAGGGTTCTCCTCTCTTCGGCTTCCCGACGCTCCAAGACGGCGGTCTTCTGGGCGTCCGAAGCCGCCTGGGAGGCTCCAAAATCGCCCCACAACCGTCCGGAAGGGCTTCCAGGCAGTCCAAGAGAGCCCCAAGACGGCACAACACGGGTCCAATATGGCCTCAGGGAGCCCCATGGCGGCCCAAGATGGCCCAAAGACACCCTCCGAAGAATTCAAAATCGTGTTTCGGTCGTTCAGGGAGACCGCGGTTGGAGGCAGGGTGGCCCGAGGAAGGCCCCGGAGGCCCCCAGAATACGCCCAGGAGGTCTCCAGAAGGCTGGAGAGGGCCCAGAATACGCCCAAGGAGGCCTGAAACATCTTTTGTGAGGCCCCTAGAGGCTCTCCAAGGAGGAGCCTCCGCAAAAAGAGCTGGGGAGGATGGGGAGACTGCGCAGGGCATGGCGAACATGAGGAAAAAGAAGCATGGAGGGAGGATAACGAAAAACATTATTATAGCGGCGATGCCAGAAAAGGCAACCAGGAGTTATCGCTAAATTGTCAGCTTGACCTTCCTTTTACTCCGCCTGCATACCAAACTTTAAGGACCAAGGTGCATGGCGCGAGCCGTCACTGAAGTCTTGTATTATTATATATATATATGTATGTATGTATGTATGTATGCATGCATGCATGCATGTATGTATGTATGTATGTATGTATGTATGTATGTATGGTCAGCCCCCCCCTTCCCCCCTCCCCAGCGGCCCCCCTACCCCACTCGCCGCGTTGTCAGTCTCTCTCTCTCTCTCTCTTTCTCCCTCCTCCTCTTCCTCCTCCTTCTCCTCCTCCTGCTCCTCCTCCTCCCCTCCTCATTCTTCTCCTCCCCTCCCTTCGCCAGGAAGGTTTGCGGGAGGAGCGTGGCCACCAAACCATGCTATTCACAGGTTAGTGTGTTTTTCTTTTTCTGGCCAGGGAAGCCACCTAACGCTGCTACTCACACGTTGTTTTTGTTATGTTCCACACACACCCGCGATCTCCCTCTGGCCAAGCTTGTGGATTGTTTGATACAACATGTGAATACTATGTTTTGGCTGCGTATGCTCCTCTTTATCCCCCTCCTCCCCCCTTCCCCCCGCCTCCTTTTCCTCCTCCTCCTCCTCCTTCTCCTCGTCCTCCTCCTCCCCATCCTCCCTTTCCTCCCCCTCATCATTTTGCTCCCCCTCCTGCTCCTTATCCTCCTCCCCTCCATCCTCCGCTCCCTTTTGCTCTTCCTCCTCCTCCTCCTTCCTCCTCCCTCTCCTCCTCCTCCCCCCTCCTCCCCCCCTTCCCCCTCATCCTTCCCCCCCTCCTCCCCCCCTCCTCCTCCTCCTCCTCCTCCTCCTCGTCCTCCTCCTCCTCCTCCTCCTCCTCCTCCTCATCCCACTCTACCTCTTTACACATATGCTGATCATCCCCATCTCCCTCGGCTCCCACCCCCTTGATATCAGCATTATCACGTCGCCGCACTGACCCCCTTTGCAAGGTTCCTTTCTCTTTTCGGGAAGGACGCGCGTGAAGTCAACGTGATCAGCCAACCATCGTGGGGGCAGTGCCAGGCGGCCACGATGGCGAGCGACGAAGATTTCTGTTGCGACGACGACGAGGACGTGGGCGAGGACGACGACGACGACGAGGGCGGTAACCGCATCGCCCATGAGCTGATTTTCTCACGCGGCTGTGAAGGCTGACCTGGTTCGAATCAAAACAGGGCCCGACAGGTTGATCGCCCGTGAGCGTGGAATCGCTTTAAGTCAGAGTTAACAGGAACGCCTACTACGCGCCAGCCCCAGCTGGTCTCAGCTACGGCACCGAGGCCAATCATCACGCGTGGCTTCGCAGGCGCTGATGGTTCTTCAATGAATTTGCAACAGAGCGTCCTGATGCTCTGATAGCATGAGACCACCACTTTGCAAGATTTGCTCGGACTGCTTGCTACGCTTCCCAGCTGCGCTCAGCTGCGCCCGTCGAGTAATTCAGTGGCCAGTGAGTCGCAGTCGCAGCCGCGGCGCCAGTGCGCCCACTGGAATGAAATCACCTTGCGTGGGCCAGAGAGCACGTGAAAGCGACGCCTGTCGCGTTGGACTGCCCCTCCCAACCTCAGCGAAGGCCCGCGCCCCGCGCCCTGGGGCTGCCCCTTGCTTCGCTGCAGAGTGGAGAGGCTGCGCCAACGCCAGCGGGAGCTTTACACGCAACTCCCCTCGCTTACCTTGTTACGGAGAATGGCGGGGTTCACCTCCTTCGCCTTGCTCTCGCCGGCCGCCCTGCGCAGGTCGCCCCGCGCGCGGTCGATCAGTTGGGTACCGCGCTGCGCCCGCGAGCGCTTCGTCCCTCGAGGCTTGCTCAGGTCTGGCACGTCGTGGCAGTTGTAAAGGCGGGCTTCGCCCGCGCCCATTTCCCACCGAGTTCCACCCCTTCTGCTTTTGCACCGCCCAATCGTGCAGGACGCCGTCGACTTTAAACTTGCGTGACCTCGTTCACGTCGCTTGCGCAGTCTTTGGAACACTCGGAGCATCGTCCGCGTTTTTTATTCATTATTTTGCCGATCGGCGCGGGCCCTCGCACCCCCCCTTCCCCCGCCCTCGCGGAGCGGATCTCGGCTGTGTTTTGGCGCCTGTTTCGAGCAGGTGGAGTTTCCCCTTCATCATGGGATCCACGGTTCCAAACAGTCGCACTAAGCAGAGGTCCGGAGCCAGACCCCCCTCTCCGACCTTTTCCGCCCAGCGTCGAAGCGCCGAAATGAAGAAACAAAAAAAAAATGCGTTCCGCCGCGCGCGTCGCGCGTCGATCTTGGCACGGCTCCGTGTCCGCCGACCGAGTAAGGCTATCCCCATCGAAGGCCCAGCGCTTCCACGCGCCAGGGGTGGCCCTGGCCTGAAGAAGCGCTTCTTGGGTGGAGCTGGGTTTGTGGATTCGCGTGAAATCATATGACAGCGACCGCGCGGCCCGCTAAACCCTACGCGCGTGGAACACGCGAGGTTCCAACATGTACATATTTATACACATCGTATACACGCGTTCCATACTTCTATACGCACTCACAGCTCACACCTAGAGGTGGCCTGTTTTATCTATAGCCACGTGCTTGTCCATAGTCCATATGCAAGCTTACATTTTATAGTTAAGAAGTCCCTCTCGTTACTTAATTTAATATGTCTCTCTTTTTTTTTTTTTCTCTCTCTCTCTCTCTCTCTGTATGTGTTACGTGCGTTATATAGCTATATTTGTTTTTGTTGCTCTCTCTCGCTCTCTCTCTCTCTCTCTCTCTTTCGCATGTTGTTTCTCTTTTTCTCGATATGTCTCTCTATCTCTCTCCCTCTCTTTCTCTGTTTCTCCCGAGCTCTCACCATTGCTTTTGTTTCTGGCCCCCGCCCGCTTCTCGCCACGATGTTCCTTTTACCCATTCGTCTCGTTGCCTTCCCGTCCTGTCGTTTCTTTTCCCCGATGTCCCCCTCCCCAAGTTTCTTGTTTTGTTATCCTGTTTCCCTTCCTCCCCCACGCCTCCTCGGTTTTCCGAAAACGGCGACGGATGACGCCGATTGACGACGACGCCGACGACAGCGACGGCGACGACGACGGCGACGATGACCGCGACGACCGCGACGGCGGCGGCGGCGACGGCGGCGACGACGACGACGACGACCCCGCGGACGTGCCCCGAGGCGCGATCTCGCCAGAGTCCCGCGGCGGATCTGGCCCCCGGCCGCGCCGCCACCCGCGGAGGCCCACAACAGCCCAAGGCCAGCGACCTTGGACCAGCGACCCAAAGACCTCCTCCCCCTCCTCCTCCTCCTCCTCCTCCTCCTCCTCCTCCTCCTCCTCCTCCCCTCCTCCTCCTCCTCCTCCTCCTCCTCCTCCTCCTCCTCTCCTCCCCCTCCTCCTCCTCCTCCTCCCCCTCCTGTCGCCCAAAGACTGTCGGCCAGTGACCAAATTTCCCCAGGCCCGAGGCCTCCTAGATGGCGTCGGGCCAGACGGGGTCGAGGGATCGCGCCGCATCGGCGATGCATCGGCGCTGCGGCTCGCCGTGGAGCCCGATCTTCTCCACGCCGGCGCCGCCGATGCATCGCCGACGTCGCCGGTGCATCGTTGATGCATCGGCGATGCAACGCCGATGCGTTGGCGATGCGCTGCGCTCCTCCGACCACATCAGCTCGGACCTTGTCCAGGAGGCCCCATACAGCCGGAGACCACGACGGCGACGGGGGGCCCGCCGCCAGGACAACAGCCGGAGCGACACCGAGCTCCTGACCGACAAGAAGAAGGCCCGACCGCGCGGCAAGGCGCGCCCGCGCCCCGGGGGTGCGCCGCCGCCGCCGCCGGCCGTTTTTCGCGCGGTGTCGTCCGTCACCGTCCGTCGTCGTCGGTCCTCCCCCCACTTGTGCTCGTCGGGAGCAGCTCACGGTGGTCGGTGTTTGTTCGTTTTCGGCCTCAGCTTGTGATCGACAGCTGGCCAGGTCCCCCCGCATCCCCCCCCCCTTTGGGTCTGATGAGTAACGAGTCCCCGCGGGGCGCGACGCTTGCTTTTTCAAGACACGCGCGCGCCGGGGGGGAGGAGGAGAGAGAAGGGGGAGGGAGGAACAGGAGGAGGACGCGGAAGAGGAGGAGGAGAGGGAGGAGGCGGAGGAGGAGGAGGAGGAGGAGGAGGAAGAGGAGGAGGAGGAGGAGGAGGAGGAAGAGGAGGAGTACCCGCCTGTGCTTGGGTCGGACAAAAGGCTGGGGAGGGAGTCTAGTCCTCGGGATCCACATTACGAAAAACAGTTCGTCGGAGTTTTGGGTCGTCGTTTTCATTTGTCCATTTTCGCCCGTGTTCGTGCGTCGTCGTCATTCGTCAGTCGTCCGCCGCCCACGGCGGGCTCGACTCGGAAGGCTGTGTCGTCGTCGAAGTCGGCGTCTCTGTCGCCAGCGGCATCGGTGTCGGCGTGAGCAGTTGCGTCGTCGTCGGCGGCGTTTTCTTTTCAATGCCTCGTCTTCCCCCCTCGCTCCATTATCCCCCCTCTTCCTTTGAAGAAACCCTTGGAGACCATCCGCCGTCCTCCCCTCCCTCTCCCGCTGCCGTCACCCCAGCACCCATCCAGATCCAGATTTTCCCATGGCCTTCGTACTATCGTGTGATATTTTTGCCGATGCGCCGTCTAGGCGTGGCTTCTCCAGTCCACTCCAGGCCACCAGGGCGACCGGTTTTGGCCCAGGCCTGGCCCGCGCCACCCTGGGGAGGAGGCGGAAAAGGGATGGAGACGCAGGCAGCAAAAGCTCTGCTGCGCGAGTTCGTGATCGTGAGTTCACGTGCAGGAGGGAAGGGGTCCGGGGGGTGGCGGGGGGCGGTCGTTGCGACGTCGTGGTGGCGGTCGTGGTCGTGTTCCAGGTTTCCGCGGTAGTTTCCGTGTCCTGTCGTAGTGGCCATGGCAGTTGTCGCGCTGGTGGGTGGTGGTCGTGTCTTGTCGTACGCGTGATCGCTGGCGCCGCCGTTGGCCTAGCGCCCGATTGCGCTCAGGAGCATTTCAGCACTGCCCCTACAGACGATTCTGCTCATTGTCCTCTAGAGGCCGCCCAGCAGTTCGGAGCGGTCGCCGTCGTCCAGGTCCGCTCCGTGGCTGCGGACGAGGCTGGCTGCTTCGTCGCTGGGCTGGCCCCCCGTTTCGAGCACGAGCTGGAACGGCTTGCTCCCGTGGGGTGGGGGGGGCAGCACTCTCGCTTCTTATGCACCGCCCAGGCGGCTCATTGTCGGCGCGGGCACCCTTGCGCGGAGCGCAGGTTGAGTATACGCCGCTTGTATTTATATACATATCTCTGTATTTATGTACCAGTCGACAAAGATCTGGCGGCGGGTGGCCGGGTCGCTAGTGGAGAGGTGGAGGACCACCCCCGCGCGAGGGTTGCGGCGACCCCAGGCGGGGTCGGCCTGCTCCGTGGGCGCCGCGAAGCCTGCGACTGTTTTTGTGCTTCGCGGATCGTCGGTCGCGGCAATTGTTGTAGCGGCTGTCGCGCGACTCGCGCACCTCGCACGCGTGCCAGCCGTGCGGGTGCCGACAGCGGTGCCGACAGCGGGAGCCGGGCGGGCATGGAAGGACGTGGGCATGCTGAGAACCCCGCGGGCGTACTTCAGGAGGGGAAAAAACACACAGACACAATTAATCGTCGATTCCCAGGAATATATAGGGAAATATGGGAAGTGGGGGGGAAGACAAGAACCTAGAAGATATGGGAAAGCATAGGGCATCTGTTTATCTGTGTGTATTTATTTGTGTGTCCTGGGGCCCCGTTTGGAAGTGCGCGTCGGGCTGGCCGGGGTCGCCGGCCTGGGCGCGGAAGCGGCCGGCTGCCTGCTCCTGTGTGTTCCGTTGTCTCGCAGGCACGGACGGCAGTCCTCCGCGTGTAGCCGCCGCAGCTTCGCCCGGTGGGCCGCGGAGGCAGGTTTGCCCCCCATGAGCCTGTGGTTTGGGTCGTGGTTCTGCAGCGCAGCCCTCCTCCCCTCCTGCTTCCCCCCTCCTGCTCCTCCTGCCTGTTTCTCCCTCTTCTTCATCCTCTCCTGCCTCCTCGCCCCCTCCCCCACCGACGAGGACGTGGGCGAGGGCGAGGACGAGGACGAGGATGAGGGAGGACTGACGAAGAAGGACGACGAATGACGAACGTCGATCGACGACGGCGGCGACGGCGATGGCCGCCGGTCCCGTCCTTGAGCGTGTTCTGAAAAGATTTCGCGGTGGATTAGGAGGCCACATGCGAATCCTACCCCACCACCCCACGATTTCTAAGGAGGGAGGTGGGGCTTAAGCGGCTTACTTCGGTCGGGACCTCCCGAGCGAAGTGAACCCCACCCTCCCCCTCAGAAAACGTGGGGGGTAGGGGTAGGGTTCGAATGTGGCCCCCTAAGACCGCGATGGGGAGGACATGGATGACTATGTCCGTCGCCAGGGAGCCCAAATGTACCGACGCCCCTGCTTCCGAAGAGGAAGAACAAGAAGTGCCATAAACATAAGTTTCTGGCGCTCCGCGCGGATTTCTTGGATCTGCGCTTTTTGTATGTTTGTGTCATCCTTCGTCCCCCTAACCACTGCTCCCACTCGCAAAGTGCCTACTCGCAAACGTCCGAAAGATCATGCCTGCTTCGATGTAATTTTATCGTAGATCATCCGCGGCGGAGCCAGGCCACTTGCGAGTAGTTGCTCTGCGAGTCGTGGAGCGCGTTCGTCCAGCTGCTCTCCAGGCCCTCGATCTTCGAGCCTCGATCGACGGCGACAGCGGCTTCGACGACCGCTGCTCGACCACGGCGAGAGCCCCGAGCCTGCCTCCGCGGGCCGCGGGCCCGGCGTCAGGTCCCAGCGGCCTGCTCTTGCCTGAGCCGGCCAGTGCCCAGCACCACGGCCGACGACCGACGACCGACCGACGATCGACGACGAGAGGTGCGACGCGATTCGCCAGCTGGGGCTGGGAGGAAACGCTACCCATGCCTCTGCCCTTCGCCCGTTTTTCCCTCTTTGGCCTCCTCGGAGGCCCTCGTCGCTACCGCTGGATTCGCCTCGAGATCCTGGTTAGATCGCACCCTGGGAGAGGTCCAGGGAGTAGTGGTATCGGTACCTTTTGGTTTCCGCAAGTTGGGGCCACGCTTCCGATTCGAGTCGATTCAATTCGGTTCTATTCGACTGCATCAGTCGGAGCCAGTCGGGGCCGGGCACGGCGATCCGAATGCGATTCGATGTTGTATCCGATCCGATCAGGCTTCGCGATTCGATGCAGCTCAGGCATGCACCGGCGCACACTGAGGCTCGGTTCGTCTTCCTCGAGCCAACCCCGGTCTGGCTCGGACGGAGCTGGGACGAGGACAAATCCGTTCCAGAGCGTTCCAGAACGCTCTCAGAGCGTTCTGGAGCGCTCTGAGACGGCCGTGGCGCCCGAGTCATCTTCCAGAGACGCGGGATCTCAGAGATTCTCGACTTCCCTCGTCCAAATTCATCCTCGTCTTGGCCTCGTCTTGAACGACGGCGACGGACGACGATCGTCGATAGACGCGATCGACCATCGGCGGCGATGAGAACGAAGACCCCAGCCTGGCATGGGGCTGACCAACAAGGGGATGGACGGGTACGGTGGCGGGGTTTTGCGAGGTCTCCCCTGGACACATCGCAGAAAATCACGACCAGAGCCCCAGACCCCATCTTTCTGCTCCGTGTTCAGAGCCAGAGCGATCTGTGAGGATCCCTGGGCTCGAAACTGAGCGAGAACGTCTAGCGTGAACAACTCGCAACGCAAGGATCTCAGTGGCGCGAGTTCTCCCGCAAGCAGCCGGTTCAGGCCCCGCAGCCAGGGCCTCTCTGTGGGAGGCGCTGCCGCCACCCGCGCCAGGAGGCGTCGCGGAGACGCTGGGCTTCGTGTGGGCTCCGAATCCACAAAACATGCGTAGAATGCTCGTCGATCTACAAGCTTTTCTTGCATGTTTCGTGGATTTGACGAGCAAATTAATTCTTGGGGTACATCTCTTCTTTAGACGATCCCCCACTCGAACTTAAGCTGCGCGCAAGGGGCGGCCCTTCGCGGGCAAGCGAGCGCCGGTCCTGGCCCGAGGGGTTCCCCCAGGCAGTGGCTTGCGAGCTCTCGGGATTGGCCCCCCTCTGGTCCCTAGCGCCATGCACCAAAGGCCATTCTGAGCGACGCAACAAAAAAAAACAGGGTCGTCTGCGACGACATTGGCGCGTAAGCTGCCGGCGTAAGGTCGCGCGTAAGCGCCCTCGTCCCTCCACTGTAGCTTGCCGCGCCAGCCGCCCGCGTAAGTCACCGCGTAGGGTCGCTACGTCATCTCGCGTAAGAGCCGTCTTTGATCGTCGTCCACATGACTCTCGTGGCGCTCTCAAGCCCCTGTGGGCCTTTTTTTCAGCGCGCGCGTCCATGCGTTGGCCTCCAAGGTTCTGTCATGGCCGGTGCTGAGAGTGGCAGCGGCATGCGAACACGGCAGGTGCCGTAGGTTCGCGTCGTGTCGACCGGCGGCGACCCCGCTGCCAGCGTTCAAGGTTGAACGCCGCCAGCGACCCAGAGTCGATCGATGTTGAACGATCCGACATATCGGACACGGCCGATCGTTCAAGGTTGAACGATCCCCGCGGTGACAGGAACCACAACGCCAAGAACGTCACGACACTGACCTGCCGTAGGGTCACTCCTTCGTGTAGCCGGGCACTGCTGGTGCGCTCGCCAGCCGCGCCGGCCCCGCGCGCCTTGGCCAGGCTGAGCAGGACATCATCCGCCGCGCCGCGAGCTCGGCTGCCCCGCGCGGTCGATTCTGCCATATATGGTCCGATGGAAATGGGTAAATGATGATGAGGATGATGATGATGATGATGATGATGCTGATGATGATGATGATGATGATGGTGGTGGTGGTGATGATGATGATGGTGATGGTGATGATGAACATGTACATGAACATGAAAATGAACATACACATGAACATGATCATGATGCTGATGATGATGCTGATGGTGATGGCGATGGTTATGGTGATGATGATGGTTATGATGATGATGATGATGATGCTGATGCTGATGCTGATAACGATGATAAAGCTGATGCTGATGCTGCTGATGATGATGACGATGATGATGATCATGATGGTGATGATGATGATGATGATGATGATGATGATGATGATGATGATGATGATGGTGATGGTGGTGGTGGTGACGATGGTGACGATGGTGAGGCTGAGAAGGATGAGGATGAGGAGGATGAGGATGAGGACCAATGTGACCCCAAAACTGACTCATCGACGATATTGCAATGACACCTCCCTCCAACTTCCTTCGTCAAAGGCCTCTACAAGGCTCCATTTTCATTGAGGGAAGTGCCCTGTTGGAAGACAACCGTTTGAACATCATGAACTGTGCCAGAACACCATACCTGGGACTTCAACGCCGCGAATCACTGTTACTTGCGCGTCTTGACGATCCTGCATATTGCCAGAGCGCCATTCCTGGGACTTCAACACCGCGAATCAACATGACTGTTGCGCCCTGACGTTCCCACACCGTTCCACAACACCATTTCCGGGACGATAGCCATGAGAAATTGTAGATTGTTACAAATTCTTCTTTTCAATGTGCGCCGCGCTACGGGGAGAGCGATATTAAAAAAAACGGGCCGCCTTCCATCAGTGATCTTTGCATTCTTTAATGACGGACGTGCGCGGTGCTAATGCGAGAGCCACATTTTCAAATCGGGCCGCCCTCCTTCAGTGCCAAAAAGTGCGCGGCGCTGATGCGAGAACCACATTTTGAAACCAGCCCGCCCTCCATCCGTGAAACTGTTACATTCGTGAAACGAATGTGCGCGGCGCCAAGGCGAGAGCCACACTTTGAAAACCATCCGCCCTCCATCCGTGAAGCTGTTGCAAATTCTAAGCTTCAGGATCGTAACTGCTGAGGATGTCTCAGGCGAAACGCCCTCCCCGCCCTTTCTGCTGGCCTCTGGTTGCGACAGGGAGGAGTTATTCATAAGGAAAAAGGGTTGAGCATGATTGTGTCTCCCGTTTTCGTAGCCTTGGGGCCCTCATAATAATAGAAGATAGTTCAGGATGGTGATTTGGTCCTGCGGGAAGGGCCCTGGGGTCCAGAACCCTTTTCTCTCAGGACCCGCCTGTGTCATGCCAAACTCTGGAGGCGTTTCGTGTGTGTATGTGTGTTGTGTGTGTGTGTTGGGTGTGTTGGGTGTTCATCTTTGTGTGTGTTGTTTGTTTGCGTGCGGTGTGTGTGTTGTAATGTGTGTGTGTGCTCTGTGTTCTGTGTATGTGTGTGTGTGTTGTGTGTTGTGCTTGCGTGTGTGTTTGCGTGTGTGCATTCCGTCGCCATGTTGGCTCAAGGCCGTGTTCGGGCTTCCACCCCCGAGCTCTAGGCCCGGCCTGGCCAGTCCGCGGCGGCCCCAGGGCCCCACGGGCAACCTCCGAGCCTGGGGTGACCCATCGTCCCCTGCTCTCCATCCTGCTGGGCCTGTCTTCCACCACCACCACCACCACCACAATAAGTTGAAGGGTTGAAGGAGGAAGACGAGGAGGAGGAGGAGGAGGAGGAGGACGAAGAGGAGGAGGAGGAGAAGGAGGAGGAGGAGGAGGGCGAGGAGGAGGACCCCCTCCCCCTCCAACTCATGGTGGTGGTGGTGGTGGTGGAAAGCAGGCCCATCAACGCCCGCACTCGCGGGCACGGCATGCACGCGCCGCCATCCGCCATGGTGAGGTCCCGCTAGGCCTGAGCCTCGGCGATCGTGAGGCCCCGCTCGCGGCCTTGCACCTCCGCCGGCCCCGCGCCGCCCGGGGGGCGGAGGGCGGGGCCCGACCTGAGCGCGGTCTTGCCGGACCTCGGCCGTGCTCTGTTTTTCGTTTCGGCAGGGAGGTGCGGGAGAACAGGCGGGGCAAAGCGAGCAGCAGAACGAACACAGCACGAGAAACAGCGTTGAGGTCCAGCCCCGGCGGAGGGGCAGCCGAGGCGATGAAGGAGGACAGGGTGTGCGCCCTCCTGAGCGACGGCGCGCCGCCCCGCCCCCCCCCGTCTGGGAGGGCGTCAGGGCGCCCGAAGATCCATCGAGGAGCAGGGCGAAGCTTGGCCAGGAGCAGGGGGAGCAGTGGGAGGAGCAGGAGGAGGAGGAGCAGGAGGAGCAGGAGGAGGAGGAGGAGCAGGAGGAGCAGGACGGGAGCAGGAGGAGGAGGAGGAGGAGGAGGAGGAGCAGGGGGAGGAGCAGGAGGAGGAGGAGGAGGAGCAGGAGGAGCAGGAGGAGCAGGAGGATGAGGAGGGGCTGGCCGACGCCGCGTGAGCGCGCGCGCACCGCGCGCGCCGTCGAGGAGCAATGAACGGCATAAGCATACATGTTCGACGCTCCGCGCGGATTTCTTGGATCTGGTCTGGGCCCTCCTGGCAGCGCCGCCTCTGGCGCGCCCCTGGCGCGCTTCGCGCGCCCGGGCGGGGGTCCAGCGCGGATCCAGGAGATCTGCGCGGCGCTCCTACAGTTTATGTGTATGCCGTTTTGTGTTCCTCGGAGGTGTGCGCCTGCACTTGCCCTGGCTGGTCCGATCATGTCAGGCCGCGCAGATGTGACCCGAGAGTTGGGGCTATCTCAGGAGCCTAGGGGGGGGTGGATAGGCTCAGGGGGGGACGCATTGACACCCAATCGCCCATGCATTACACACACGGCGTTACAACAAATCCAACGTAAGCATCACTGCGTAGAAAACACAACGTAAACACACCTCGCAAACAATCACGCACCGGACAACACACAGCACCAGGTATTGCATCGCATCGCACCACAACACGGAATAAACACACAACGCGCGAAACACATATTGTCAAAACACACAGCGTAACAATTCACCATTCAGGCGATCGCAAAGGATCAAGGGGGAGTGGATTAGCGACGGGTCCCGTTTCCATGGGAAGTCGCAGATTACCGCTGCCGAGCGAGGCGGTGCTGGCCGCATTTTGGGGAGGGCACCTCCCCCGATCCATGGATTGGGCGATCGCGCGCCAAATCCATGGATCGCTGATCCATGTTTGCGCGCCCCCGAATCGCTCAAAATAGTATGTACAGCGCGCCGCACGAATGGTGAAGATAGAGACAATAAACACAACGCCATTCAAACACCAACCTAACAACGTAACAACAGCGCAGCGCATCATGAGCAACGCCGAGTAGCATGCTCGTAACAGACAGCGCATTCATACATGTGAAAATCGCTTCGCTCATTCCGTCGGCTCATATTGTCGCAGCGCCGTCGGCTGGCCGAATGGTCGTTTGCAGTGTGGGCCTTCGGGGGCGTTTTTTTCTGAGTCGTTTCATTCGAAATGTTGAATGTTGGGAACCCGCTCGCGGTCTCGGAGGGGTCCTTGAAGCGGAAAGCTCGCAATGTCATTTGGAGTTCTTTCTCTTGGGGCCGTCTTGGCGGATCCTGGGCGCCTCTTGGGGCGTCTTGGGGCTCTCTTGGGCTGTCTTGAGGCTCTCATGGGCTTATCTTGGAGGCCTGTTGGGCCCTCATGGGGCGATCCTGGGAGCGCTTGGCCAGTCTTGGACGCTGTGAAATACCAAACATTGGATATGCGAGAAATGCACGTTTTCCTGAGGGAATGGCGCATTTTTTGCTTCTTGGGACCTCGGAGGACCTCTCGAGACTCTATTGGGACTTCTCGGCGGCCTCTAGGGCTGACTGAGGGCTATGTTTGGCGTCTGGGAACGATCTTTCAGCGACTCGGAGCCCTCTTGGACCGTCTCCGGGGCGTCTCGGGGCACTTTTGGCGCGCTCCCAGGACCTGCCGGGGACCTGCCCAGGGGTTGGTGGGGAGTTGGTCGGGTTTTTTTCGTCCGGGAGCCCCCAGGAGCCGCCCCGCGCGCGCGAAGTAGAAATATTGTTATACTGTCAGTCAGGGACCAGAGATCTTAGCACGCCTCTGGCCCGTTGGGCCGGCGAATTCCGTGACAGAAACAGCATGCGAACAAGTACAACGCCACAAGCAAACATCCACAACGTACCGCATTACATTCTAAAACTAAGCCGACTTAAACGCACATCGAACGAACAAAGCAAACAGCATTAAAACACACACGCGCACTGAGTAGAACGCCCTGCGTAGTAGAAGACACTGCGAAGGAAACACTGCGTAAAACACGCTGCGCAGAAAACGCTGCGCGTGGGCTTTGCCAACACCTTCTGTCGCAGACTACCACCATGGCGCGCCTCCAAGAGCGATGATTCAAAGGCGCCTGCCCCAGACACACTACGCAACGTAACGTGGGACACGCTTCGTAGAGAGCTCTGTGTAGAAAACGCAGCGTATAATCACTCTGCGTGGAGAACACTGTGTAAACAACGTTGTGCTTAGGCTTTGTGGACACCTCCCGTCGCTCTACCACAGGAGCACGCCTCCACGAAGAAAGATCTGGTCCACGAGTAAGAATCAGAAGTGCGCGCAGACAGTTTTTTGCATGAGCCATTCAATTGTCCTTTTTAGGAGGAGCGGTCTTGTCTGCAGCAAGTGTCTGGTTCGTTGCGTTGCCCCGCCGTTTGCCCAAGGGATCGCTCCGAAAAAAAGGGCGTCTGCAAAGGGACAACACATTTGCGCGAATGAATCTCGAATGCACGTCGAAGTACCCCGAAGGTACCTGCGGGGTGCTTCGCGGTCCTTTTGGAGACGCGTTCTGCTATGGAGTTGAGAGTTCTCTGGTCAACAGAGGTGCCATTGCTATCACAGGATAGCATGGCGAAACAACAAGTAAATTTACAACACGTAAACACATGTATTAAGTGCCGCATGACATCCTAAAACGAAGCTGGCCAAGAACACAGTGCACACAGAACACAGGGTAAAACTAACACATTCAATTTTAGACATGTTGCGTAGAAACACCACGTTGAACTCATCGCGTAGAAAGCACTGCGTAGAAGTCACTGAGTAGTTTATACTTCAATTCACCCCTGGGAACAACTCTCTCGTCGGTCAGTCGATCGATCGGTCAGTCGTCGTCAGGCGTCGTCGTTGTTCGTCGTCGTCGTTGGTCGCCGTCGTCGGTCATCATCGTCGTCGTTCGTCGTTGTTCGGTCGGTGTGTCGGACGGTCGTCGTCGTCGCCGTCGTCGTCGTCGTCGCTCGTTGGTCGCCGCCGTCGGTCATCGTTGTCGTCATTCGTTGTCGTCGTCGCCGACGGTCGTCGTCGTCGTCGGGGTTCGCCGTCGTCGTCGGCCGACTAAGAGGCCTGAGGACACGCCAGCTAAAATCCCTCCGCGAAATCAAAGACGTGGCGGCGCCCAAGGGCCCCAAGAGTTTAATGTTCGCGCCGAAACTGGTGACCGCAAGCACACAAATCTGAACCCGTGGGCCGCGTTTCGCGCGTCGACCAAAATTCAGAAGTTGCGTTTGATTCCGAGGATGGTTGTCGAGTATATACATATGTATAAATAAGTATTTACATATTCTAATATATATATATATATACCCCAATCGGAGGAGGAAGGAAGAGGAGGAGGAGGAGGAAGAAGTTGGAGGGGGAAGGAGGAGGAGGGGGAAGGAGGAGGAGGAGGAGGAGGAGGACCCCCTCCCCCTCCTACTTCTGGTGGCGGCGGGGGAAGACAAGCCCACCAGAGCAAAGGGGGGGAAGGAAGGGGGACCCCCCCAGCCCACGTTTCTGGTTGACCCAGAGTCAGGCGATCGCAAACATGGATCAAAGGGGGCGTGGATCAGCGACGGGTCCCGTTTCCATCGGAAGCCGCGGAGATCCGCCCCTTAGAGAGGCGGCACAAGCCGCATTTTGGGGAGGGCACCTCCCCGGATCCATGGATTTGACGACCGCGCGCCAAATCCATGGATCGCCAATCCATGTTTGCGCGCCCCCGGAAAGAGGGAAGGACGGGGGGAGGCTGATGGGCTTGTTCTTCACCACGACCACCAGAAGTTTGAGGGGGGAAGGAGGTGGAGGAGGAGGAGGAGGAGGAGGAGGACCCCCTCCCCCTCCTGATTACTCACGTATGGTGGCGCCTGTGGAAAACAAGCCCACCAGAGGCAGTGACCCAGAGATCCGATGCTTCAACAATTTTCCGACCCCCTGCGCTCAACCCCTTCTTTGAGGGCGTGGCAAGGGATTCATTAGATAGACGCAGGGGGTCGACCCAACCCCCTCTGCCGCAAACCCCACATCGCCGATACATTGCGATCTGGAGCCCATTCTTCTCCATCCACCGTCGCCGACGCATCGGCGATGCGGCGCGATCTTTCTGACCTCCTATGTTCCAGTCCCACTTTGGAGGTCTCCTCGGAGTGGAGGAGGAGTACAGTCAAAATCTAGAAGAGAGACTCGCGGCTGTCTTTAGGGTGCCCTTTCGTCCTTGCCTCTGGCTCACACATCGCCGTTTTCACTGTCCAGACCTTCAGTGCACCATTTGGGCGGGCTTCGTCCTTCGGCTGCGCGGCAGGGCGCTTCTTTGGGGGCCAACTCTAAGGGCGCGGACTAACCAGGGTATCTTTTGCCGCCCCTAGGCGCGGCGCCCTCGTCTTCGTCAGTCGTCCGATTCGCGGGCGCACGTGGCCCTGAAGCCGCGGACCAGGCAGCGTTCCCTTTGGACGTCATTGAGCGCGCCGCCCCCGCCCTCGGCCGTTGTCGTCCCGTTCGCGGGCGGACGTGGCCGGCGGGGACGCGGGCAAGCAGGGTGCCGTTGGCAGTTTTGGGTCGCGTCGCCCGCAGGACGGGGGCGTTCCCAGGGACGCGGGCGAGGCACGGGGGCCCGTTCGCGTCCTTGCCCCCCGCAGCGTGCGCCGCGTCGCCCACGGGCGGGGGCGCCCGTAAAAGGCAGTGGGCCCTTGTTGCGTCTTTGCCCCCAGGGCATGCGGCGCGTCGCCCACGGGCGGGAACTTCCCTGAGGACGCGGACGAGGTTGGGGGGCCCGTTCGCGCCCTTGCCCCCGCAGCGTGCGCCGCGCCGCCCACTGGCGGGGGCGTCCCTGAGCACGCGGATGGGGCAGGTTGGGGCCGTTTTGCATCTTTGCCC